GATGCTTTGTAGGTGTAATGACCTGGGAATGAGGTTGCAAAAGCTCACCACCAGCATCAGTCTCTTAAGATCTGAATTGACAAATTCCTAAACGGGATTTGTAAAATTTCACTTTGCGTCCTTTAGAGACAATGGGGATACAATTGGAGCAATTAGTATTGTTTGAAAGAGATGAAATGCTGGTAAAGCTGAGTTGGAACTGAGTGTGTACTTACACGGAGTGGAAATTTACAAGGTATACTTAAGCTTTTTGAAAAGTAAATAGACTTTACCAACGTGTTATCTGAAACTGACAGCAATAACTGGCTAAAAAGGAATATTTCTGTAATGTTATTTTGCTTTCATGGCGAACTTGATGGTCAAACCTCGTAAATCTGCCGCGTTTCAGTCCTAAAACAAATTAAAAACTCGACATTTAAAAGGTAATTTTATCATAGTTTTACATCTGACCGATTTTTAAACAATTTAGACTAATCAAGATAACGCTACTAATTACGTCTGTTCATCTTCGATGAATAGCGCTACGTTTCGGTTGTCTGAGCAAGAAACAATACTTGGGAACACGGGGGATTACATGATTGACAGTCAGATTGACAGGCCTGTGTGAAGTTACGCACGCTTTCTTTCTCTTTTCTAGCTTATTAGCATTTTCCCGTGCGACGTTTTGCAATGGGCGCGATTCCGTAATGGATATTCCGGAATTATGATTTACAGCGTACAAAGTTTGAATCAGGTTTAAGTAATCTTTCATATCGGTTGTCTTGGCTTTAACATTTCGGTTTTACTTGTATAAAGACTATTTCTCCTGGCCGAGATGCTTTTAAACGTGGTGTATTTAGCTTTAATTTGTAAACTGATGTCGATTAAACGATACTCACTACGTTGAAGTTGATGCACTCTGTTCAAGCAGTTACCGATGAATTCTAAGTTCATCGATTTTAAAAGAACAGTCTCAAGTAATTGAAATAAAACAAACGAACAACCAGACAACAATGAGATACTGGAAAAACAAAGAATTCATGCGCAAGGCTCCCTATAGATAAACAGGAATATGATGACCTAGCAACTTTCTCTTTCATGATGACGCATTGAAGGTTGCTGATCTTCTATGTACCTGAACAACTACTGTAAATGCCAATTTACAAAAATCACATAAGCCACAATGAAACGTGCAATATTACATTTTCTCAAGCGTTCATGAGTTAGAAATCTTGAGCATCCAGTAAAACCATCTAATAGATGCATTCTCGCTTGAGTTAGCTGACTACAACCTTACCTCCATTTCATCTTTAATCCACAATTGCACATGCTCGTGTTTGATGAAACTGAGCTACAGCTGTTGTACAACTTCAACTTGGTTAAATGAAATTTACATAACGAACTGTTTTACAAGTTCAGAGCCGAGCTGAAAGGAGGAAACGCAAGGATTCTTTCGCTAAAATGTTAACTTCACTCAATCACTCAGTTGATTTCACGAGGGAACTCTGCATTCCACGGCCACTCAAGCTTGCCAGTCACGTGATAAGCCGCAAGCCGGAAGTGCTGAATGTTTTTAAAATATGTTTCATTGTTATTGATCACTCCTTGTAGTGGTAATAGTTTGGCTCAACATATTATAGATGACCTTTATGCCACAAAAAGAAAGAGAAATGTTCAGTGAAATACTGGAGTAAAAACATTCCGTGCCTCTTTGAGGACATGTTGAATGTTGCGTGACAAATGATGGTACTGAGTCACGGAACTTGAGTCTAGCGGACTCAACTTCACTGACAAATTTTATGAGCACACAAGGCAGGAAACGAGTGAAATTCCATAAAGTTATTTCCGTTTTGGCAATCATCAAGATCTGCCCACTGTACCAGAGATGAGGTTCACCTCCGCATGCTGTTGTAGTACATGTATCTCAAATCAGTTAGTATACAAAACATGCATAAACGTCTAAACTATTCTATTGGGTAAAACGTATCAAGCGGGGCTACCTTACGGTAAGAGAACGAAAATTATTCAAGCAACACGAGTATAATTACAGGGGATTGTGTATAATATCGAGGGGATTGTGGTTTTTATGATTACAGTGAATAAAAACGCGTTCAGAGAATAAGGGCCTTTCCATTTGCTAGTAAAATGTAATCGCGTGAGTTCTCTTCGCCTTGTAAAACGACACACTTTAATGGTCACAGCATATGGAAACCTCAAAATGTCCCTTGCAGCCAAGCAACTTCTCCCTAGGAGCCATCTATGTTACAGAATTTTCATCCAAAAAGGACAAGTTTTGCATTGATTTTATTGGTAAATCATTAGCTTATTTGTTAATTATAACCTTCCTTTGGGTCTTAAGCACTTTCTGCGACAGAACGAGATTGAAGAAATAAATGTACTTTGGTCAGTCATACCGATTTCACTCGTTCTTTCATTTGACTACGGATCCCAAAATTAGATAGAGGACTATAATCGTAACTCCACCTAGAAAGAAGGATGTTGTCTTAAATTTAAATCAAAGCTGGCCGATAAACGATAAAAATTCTTATTCAAAAAGATTTCAACACTTAGTCTGTGGAGCCGACAAAAAATACCTGGATCTCGCTATTATTTTGTCAAGTCTATTTATAGACTACTATGTAAGTGGCTGACTCTGAGTGAGTTATGGAGCAACTTATCTCATCCAACATGTATTAAAGATGGCTGCGCAAATCAAAGTTCCTTTGAAAAAGGAGCAAAAAGATATAAGAAATTAATTAAAGCACTTGCACTTGGTAAAAACGCAAACTTAAGGAGCAGACCCGGCACACTGAATAATAAAGGAAGAACCCAATAAAGTCATAGTCCATAGTCTCTATTTTCAGTCTCTGCATTTCACCAATAAATTTACCATTGTTTCACGAAATTTGCAAAAACAGCTGAAAAAGATTGGTGTGAACTAAAGCATTAAGCGAATTACGCATCATGTTTGAAATACTGACGACGTAAACCCCTGCCTTTTAACATTCAATGGTTTTGGGCAAACCCTGAAAATGTGATGTAACTTGAGAATACTGAAACGCTAGAAAAAGCATGTACACTCACTAACGCTTCCAAAGTGAAAATTTACAAGAGGATTCCTTCAACGAGTATGTAAGGAAGGACAAACGAATCACGTGACACCTCCAATGAGGACATCATCAAACTTCCTGCTCAGTATGTGTGTGCTTATCCTCAACTGAGGGGAACCTTGATGACAATGAGGTGGAGGGAGGGGGACTAATGGTAAGATTTTTGATCTCTCTTGATTATTCAACGAGAAAGAAAACCATATCTTCAAAAAACGTACCCCTCTTCCACACTGTTTTTATTTGCAAAATCCACTGAGCTACACAATGATTCCTGCAGAGGACATCATGGACTTACTAAAGCTTTGCCTAGCGTCAACTTACTTTCATTACAACGATAATCACTACAAACAGCTACACGGTACAGCTATGGAGTCTCCAGTTTCCGTTGTGGTAGCGGAAATTGTGATGCAAAACATCGGCACAAAGCCACGACTATCAGGACTCCAAAGCGACGAGCGCAACTAGTATGCTCAACATCAACATAGAGATCAACAATGAATCCATTATGAGTGCGCACACCAAAACAAGTTACGTAGTGTGGGTCCTTTATATGGTCCTCACCGACTCTTCTCGTACTATGGATTATCCTGGCCCGTGTCTAAATCCCTGGAGCACGACTACGTCTGGTCTGGAGTCTCACAACCTGAAATTGAAGGAGACATAAGGAGTTCTTTATCTCTACCCTCCGTTCGATTTTTTCCGCAGACTATCTTGATTTGCCTTGAGAATAATAACGCTGCATTAACAAGGAGCTATCCATTGTCTCGTTTGTCGCGGATTACTGCGTCGCATTTGGACACTGTGTATTGTGGAATACCAGCCTCACGCTAGGATGTATTGGAAGTCAAGCCAGATACTTCAGAGGGCAGTTGTCATCCTTGTTATCGATGATAGATTGTCGTCATAATTCGGTGCGCTACACTAAGAACACAAAGACTAAACGCAGAAAGGCCAGGATCGCGTATTATTTCAAAAGTATTGCGACTTATCAGTTGTAAATGGCCTGTGGCGATGTCCATCCACAACTGGGACCGGCATTAACAAAAGCATTTGACGCTGTTTGCTTTAAAACGATGATAACCAGGCTGCACCACCTCTGTTTTGAATGGTTAGCTAATCATGACCTATCCGGCAGGAGACACTATGTTCAGATCGATGACCGCAAGTCGTCACCTATACTATCCTAGTTTGGAATCCCTCAGGGCTCAATCCTCGGACCGATGTCGTTCAATCCCCACGTCGCGGATCTTCAAGGCATCCTTCCACCTGCAGTTAGAAGCTCCCAGTATGCCAATGACACAATAACATACGCCAGCTGTGTTGCGTCGCATATTTCATATCAGGTAGAAGGCATGAATACAAGCCTAGTAAGCCTTGGCGACTGGTCGAATGACTCGAACCTGGCCCTCAATTCTAAAAGACCAAGGCGATGCTAATCTCCTCCTCACAGATGGCATGTGTGTATTCCATTGGGAATTTGGAGCTTGTACTTAAGATCTCCGGTACTCCACTTGAACGCTTGGATGTAGCAAAACTCTTAAGAGTACACATCGACTCAAATCTTAAATGGGAATTTCATATAAATTCAATTTTTAAACCCTGCTAGGCGACTCTGAGGATTTTAAGGAAAATAAGGAACTTTAGTGACTTCAAATTACGTAAACATTTGGGAGAAACACTAATTTTATCTAAGATAAGTTACTGTGATATTGCTTTGATCCTTTACCGAATTTCCTCACAGCCAGACTACAAAGGCTCTAGTTCGCTATCGCTAGTTTTTTTTAACTACGTATGTAAACAGTATTATCCACTATTTTAAATCTTGGTTGGCTACCTATTCTGGAGCTTAGGGACTTTTCAATTTTAAAGACTGTCTTCAAAGCACTCTATACTTATAACTGGCCTTCCTACTAAAATCTTCAAGTCGTAAAGCCTTTGAGACATCTTCATTCTGATGCAGCGCCAAGGTCACTTGTTCCACCAGTTCAAGGCACTTTTCAGCCATGGTCTTTAATGATTTGCCAATCAAAATAAGAAACTACTCGAACTTCAGGGAAGACTATAGGCTCTGCAAGACATTTTTGAAAGCGCGTGCTTTGTCTTCCTTGTAAGACCTTTCCTTCTTTAAGCCCGCTTTTGCATTCAAAAGTGTATAGATTATGCAGTAACTTAGTAGTTTTGTAATAAAATTTTCTTGTCTTATACATCTAAATTTTTATAGATACATCTAAATTTTTATAGATAGCACTTTTGTAGGGCCTTCACAGATGAAGAGCCCCATCTTTTTTGTGGATATGCTGAGAATAAATCATTATTATTACGAAACACTCACCGACCTCCCACTACCGAAGCTAACGACAACGCAACTCCTCCTACTGCAATGACTACACCGTACATAAATGGCATATTTGAGATCATCTCGCGCATCCATGTCGCTTACAAACCCATTACTACACTACGTCAGTTACTGACTAACGTCACAGACAAAGACGAACCGAGGAACAGACAGGGAGCCGTTCATAAGATCAGTCGCTCCGACTGCCACGCCTTCTACATCGGTGAAACCTCACAACTGACTGAACACAAGCGAGCGACGAGGAAAATTTAAAATTTTGCCTCTACTACACAACCGAACACACAAAACAACACTTGGAGGCATGGACGCGTCGGTCAGCCAGGCCCATGATACATTTTATTAACTCACGTGATAAAAATCCACTGTTACAGTAATTCTAAGAACACGCCACGGCCGGACACGTAAACCCGAAAAAAAAAACAACTATTGGAAAAATAGGGACCGTGTAACCCCAACCTATGCCATGGCGTCGCCTTTGGGGTTATAAAGCAAAACTAATAAAATAAAGCCTAAAAACATGAATATGAGCAGAAAACGAGATGCTACATAAAATAGCTAAGAAAGAAAGGGACCACCACGGATGGTAACGAGATTATGGCTAACAGAATAAGTGAAAACTTAACTAAACAAAGCAAGATGACGCGGCAGGGCCGAATGTAGAATGACGCGCGTAACTAACCTGTCACTCTTTCGAACCCCCTAATCGCCGTCCCACGCGCGCTACACTAGAACCCAGTTCACCGTTCCGTGCCGGCAAAATAATAATTTATGTCAATTCTAATTTACAAAAATTACATATTTTGCCTCCATTACACAACCGAACACACAAAACAACGCTTGGAGGCATGGGCGCGTCGGTCAGCTGGGCCTATGCTAGATAGTAAAAGAAAGGGCTTGAGCTCAGAGGGACAGAGATTTAGAGACTTCAAGCCTGCTAGATAGCGAGTCTTTAACATATATAGATGTTTTTAGCTTCTGCGGAAGTTCAGTGACCGTGACGCTGAATGTTTCTCTCCGAGACGCCTGAATTGGCTGCCAAAGTAGCTCCTCCTGATCTCATGGAATGAGTATTAAACCTTGATATGTCAGGTACAATATCCGAAAAAGACTTCTTAAAGGAATCCTTGTACGCAGAGTAACTGATAGGCTTGTTAACCGAAACTAAACGCTTACGATTTTCTGAAGACGAAATAGGACGAAAAAGATAGTCGTCAGAATTCCCGGCTCTATGGGCTTTGCTCATGTACGCCATGAGAAGATAGCAAGGACAAGTAGACGAACGGGTTTCAGCGATGACGATAGCACGGTTTTCTCTTAATTGATCTGTTTTGCTTTTCTCAATAAAAATAGTAACGTCGTAACTAGAAAAGAATTCTGAACCTCTGAAAAAGCCGGAAAAGGCGAGGACGAACATAACTAAGCTTCTTAAATGCAAAATATTGCCAAAGTCAGTCCTTTCAGCAAGTTGCTTGAGATGGGTCACCTCGAGGGGTTCTTTCCTATGAGAGGCTAGTTGGCAAACAAGACGAAGAGCTCCCTTCTTCGCGGAGATAACGGTGGGGTGTAGGGTAGGAGAATCCACTCCTGCAACCTGATGCGGCCACTTGAAAGCGTAAAAAGCGCAGTTGATGGCAGACGCCGACTTATTCCGATTACTGTAGAAGAAACTGCAGTCAGAGAGCACAATCCATGGGACCGACAGGAAAAGTGGGAACGCCCAACACGCCCTTGGCGAACTCTGCCCATATGTTGAAGGCCCTCAAATAGTTTTCCGATGACCCGGACGCCCTCGAAGCAAGCACCGTAAGCTTGAGCTTTCGCCTCGGCTGGTTGACCTGGCAGTCGTCGGAGCTTTCAGAAGACCAAAACCCAGAGGAGAAGATATCTTAAACAATAAAGTAAGAACACTGTTGAGCTAACCCATATACGGAACCCCCAGGGGATAACAAAAGAGGTCAATACCCGTCCAGGGTATGACGCAGAAAAAACCAAACTGCAAGGGAAACGTTGAGCCCATCAGGGGTATAAAACTAGGGTAATAGAGTCCATCCGGGGCACGTCAATGACAGCGTCCACGGCATAGACATGTGGAACCCATCCAAGGTCAATAATCAGCCAGAACATTTAAATAATCTAAAGACAGCTTCGTAATACTATCAACCTAAAATCCAAATCTTTATTCTGCCCATCAGGGGCACAAGAATGAACCCACCAAGGGTATAAACATTGAACCCATCTAGGGCGTCATAAAGACGGTAAGGAACAAACAAACCCGTAAACCAAAAAAAATTGATAGAGGAGCTCTTTGTTGCTGTTCGTAATCACGCTGGAAACTTTAGCTTCATCCATAGCCACGGCGAAGGAAAAAACAGAGAGAACTAAACCAAGCAAGATGACGCGGCGAGGCTGACGATAGAATGACACGCATAACTAACCGGTCACTATTTCAAACCCCCTAGCCGCGGTCCCACGCGCGCTACACTAGAACCCAGTTCACCGTTGCGTGCCGGCAAAATAACAACAAGGTTAGGTTAGGTTACACAAATGACATAAAGGTTGTGATTGTTCATCGTGGTAAAGTACAATAATAATAATGTATTATCTTTTGTCCCACGATGTGGTCACTTCTAATGTGAATCGCGAATGCATACTGCTAGTCTTCATCAGGCGATAAGGTCGACTGGTTTCGGGTCTTCTTAATAAGCAGGATGCTCCGCTGTGATTGTTTATTTTTTTTCACAGCTATGATTAGCGCGTTTCGATCCTCGATGTTCGTGCATTATTCCCACGGCGGTCTGCTTTCTTACGGCTCTCCGGTTGTTGTGTTTTTTGATCGAGGGCATCAACGGTTCAGAAATTTCTATTCCATCGTCGCTGTTGATGTTGTTAGGGTAAACATTAACAGTCACATGTTAACAATCACATTGATGAACAATACCGACTTACGAACCACGCTTCTGACTGGGACGCTGCGAAATTTATATGCCAAACCTACAGCACCAACTACTTTCAACGACTTACTCTGAAAAGCTGGCTTACTAACTTAGAACAGACTCCCTTCAACAGGTGTCAACCACTACCGGCACCATACAAACGACTCATTCACGACATTAACATTAGAAACGAACCGAACAGAACGACCTAACTTTACTGACTGATCAAGAAGGACCATCAAAATTAAAAATTCAGACCAAAAATGAGACAAATTAATGAGTTAAAAGGTTTCTAATCTGTGCCTTCCTTTTTTTTCCATGACATTAATAGTTTCACGGACAAAAAGAAAATACCAACCGAATTCAGTTCCTTTAATACAAGAACATTGCGATTCTTGGTCTTAGTAACTATTATGTAGTTACAAGAGAATATAACTTTATAATCTCTTGGTAGTTACCACAAATAAAACCAACAGACAAAGCAACGATGTAAGCGAAAGTTCTACTTTTATCACAGGAACTTATGACAGAAATACAACAATACTTGGGCGTGCTGAAACAATTAAAGGACTTTGACGAGAACTTGAGTCGAGAAATTGCCGCCAAAGCCTATCAAGAGCAAGAGAAGATAAAACTTGAGGTACTGATGATGCAATTTTAATCGACTTATCAATCATATTTCTTTTTAAGGGAAAAAATTGCGAATGATGAATGGGGAACGGAGAATAGGAGATGAAGAATGGAGAAAGAGGAATTTAGAATAGGGAAGGAGAATAAGAAATAGGGAATGGGAAATGAAATGGAAATTTATTTCTTGAAGTTCTGCTCCGTTCTTCGAGGGAACGGAAAAGAATCTATGGAATAATTACAACTTTTTTTCTCAAACTCAATCAACTTCATATTAAGAGAACAAAAGCTGATTGAAGTTCATGCTTTCTTTTTCTGTTCTTTGTCAAAAACATTGCTGGATTAATTCAGATGTAATGGCGAGGATATGATTCATTCTTGGTGAGAGGGAAAATTTTTTTTTACACGCAATAGAATTTCGTCATCTGCTGGACAAAGCTTAAACTGACGTTAAATTTCGTTCTTTCTTAAGGAGGAACACGAACGTTTGCAACAAGAAAATCGTCAGCGCCGTAAGGAAGTAAGACATTTTGAGTCAATGTCAGTATCTGAGAAACTGCACACCTACCCCTCCCCTAACTCAACAACAATCAAACAATAACAAGTTAGGGCTAATGTTGGGTCAGGGGAGGGGTAGGTGTGCAGTTGATCAGATTCTGACATTGATCCGACATTTTCAAAATCACTTAAGAAATCCCTCTACGCTTCAAAAATAATCTACCATCGTCAAATCTATCATTTGACGATTTCCATTTGTCCAGATCACAAAAAGAGAATAAAAGAACAAAGAGGACCATTGACTGCTTTTTGTGAGTTTTGCCTTCTCAGACGGAAGCGCTAAACATGCACATCTTTGATTCCAGAAAGCACAGACACACGAATTTTACGGCGATTAAACATAGTGAAATCCAATTAAATACGTAGAAAAGTAAGCATTTTAATTAAGCATGAGTACACTCATTCTTGGGAACTAGGTTTTTTGAGTAACATCCGATTTGGTATCAGGGCAGGTGAAATAAAAACAAACAAAATGCTGACATCTTGTCTGAACGAGTCCTGGTGCAGGGGCCGCCCTCTCTGTCTGCTTATTTTCTCTTGGTTCCATTCCAATGTAATTTTGTGATGTGTCAAATTAGATTCATTATTCCTTAATTTCTTTGTTATTAAAATATTGCCTCATAATAACTTTCACCTTCAAATGCCTTAAAATATATCTTTAGTTTAAATCACGCTAGCAAGAATATATCCCATTGGGTGTTTTTTGTGAAAGATTGTACAGTATTTTTATCAGAAATTCATTCTGAGTAACTGAGAAATTTGATGATTTTAGCACAGAGGTGAACAAGAGTAGATGCCATATTATTTTTCATCATGACTCTCCTATAGCTGTCTGACCTGAACTTTTTCCTGTTTGGTAATTACATGAAAAAAGCTGTAGACGAAACAGGAGGAAGAAAAAAAGAGACTCCGTGAACAGATGGAAGCTGAAGCAGCGGTCCAACGACAACAAATGGATAACATGGTAAAGGCGAGAATGATGGAGGTTGAAAAACACCGACGAAATTTCATGCAAGAAAGCCAGATACTCAGTCAACGACTTGCACAAATGCAAAAATCAAATGAAGGCATGGAGAAGACAGTGGAGAGCTTGAGACAACAGCTGCTACTCAATCAGAGCCGACAACAGCAAGTTCAAAAGCCGGGATTCTTTGATAGAGCGCTGCAAATGATACCAGTCTTGGGCGGGGTCGCTAGCACCTTATCAAAGTGTAGCGTTATGTAAAGCCTCTAAAGTTATCCCTTATCATGAACACTGGTCCAATTTTTAACCGGTTGCATTGTATCAGCTTACAGTTAACCATAATTTGCCTTAAAGTTATGTAACGCGTTTTCTGCCGATGGATATGATGTTAATTTTATATATAAAGTGAAAATCGTGTATTGTCTGTGATATATTAGGCTGCAAAACAACTTGAATGTGATCTGAAATAAAAGAACTTGAAAAAAGAAACCAATCGGGTCTTCTGATTATTTAATAGCTGGCGCACACAAAATCCCCTTTTCGAGGAGTTAAGCCCGAAAGCTAACCATCGTAGGCTCTGTGTACGAGAAATATGATAAAGGTTGGGATATCAAGCTTGTTTTAGAGTGCTCTAGCGGAAGAGAAGTGGGGGAGGAAGGGGGCAAACGACAAAAAAGGAGACTGCTTGCAATGATTTCGGCCTTTTTCCGCCTTTTGAGTTTTTCTCGTCGCCAGGTTTAACATTAGAAAGAATTAAATCACAGCAGTAAAAAGGAGAAGATGCTTAGATGCCAAGCTTTTAATGCCTGCTGATCGAGTGACACAGCGTAGAACAACTTAAGGAACGACGGGCGGCTTGTGGAAATAAACAAGTGGTTATAGGAAAAAAAAACAAACATGCAAACAAAAAATCAAAAACAATATTGAAAACGGTCGGTCGGTGGGACACGAAAGCCGTTATTGTTACACAAGTCAGGCCGACAGATTCTGCGATAAATTATCAAAAAAGAAAAAAAAAGCAAATCAAAACCATGAAAATTTACCAGTTTTTCCTCTCATCCAGGGGCTGCCTATATCGAACTAAAGACTACATACTAGTCTTTTAATAAAAAAAAGTCTGCGCAAAAATATCATTCTGCGCGTGGTGCGTTCAGCTGTGAAAAACTATTTAAATGACTGTGCTTTGGGGCCCAGGCAACAAGGATACAGGTCGTATACAGGGTCTTTTTCAAGCACTCATGCCATCTGTACTTTAATTACAAAGAGACAAAGATATTTCATAAAAATTCTTTTAATAAATCAATAAAAGTGAGGGTAAAAAAAGTCACAACGTTGGGTAAAAATTGATGAACTAAACTGCTATTTACAGTGACAAGTGAGACGAACAAGCATTTTTAAAGCTTGTAACACCAAATATCGACTTAAACTTTTCTGATCACGAAAGATTTTCCATACATCTCCAGTTTCAAGCATCATCAATGTAAAGCATCACAAAATAAGCCTAATTCAAAGCACAGCGCTGCCTGTGAACTGATCCAAGCTCAAGGAATCATTCATCTGTTCCTTTTCTCAAAGTCGGCTTTTTTTCTAAGGACAAAATGAGCTTGTCAGCTGATTAGAATCAATAAAATTAATTGAATTAATAAGTTTGAATTAATTGAGTTGAGTAATTTGAGTTAATTAACTTGAAAAAATTAAGCTTGTCTTCTGCCAGGGTTTCAGTTGCTGGAAAAGATCGAATTATTGGAAGAGTGAAAATTGGGGTTTGGGAAGGAAAGGAAGCTCCTCTCACTCTTCCCGAGACCTCCAATGTCTCAGCTCACCCCTTTTTTGGCCGTCTCCATAAAAAGGAGAGCCTGGCACAGACGAATAGAGGGGCCTTTCTTTCTTCGCGTCAAAAAGTCACTTTTGGAATCTATGCTAAACTATTTCACACTGATATCCTAAGAAATTCGTTTAGCGTTCTGATCGGCAAAAAAACTGAGTAACAACTCGGTATTTTATTGCTGAAAAGAACTTGCATTTCCAGTTACAATATAAGACGTTTCACGCGGGACTAAAAATTAGGGAACTTCAGGAGACCGCGACAACGGCAACGAGGGTGTGGCAAAAACAAAAGATTTAAATATTGAGCAGAACAGTCGCTCTTCGTCAACATTATCGTCATCGTCATCATCCTCACTTTCGTCGTCATCATCACCATCATCATCATGCGTTTTAAAACTCTGTTCATCTCTCAGCCGTCCACTGTAAAACAACAACGTGAAATCACGAAAATTTGTGTGATCCGTGATTAGAAGGGAAATACCGTCGGCAAATTATCTAAGTTTTCAATTCGAACTGGACGCTACTCCTATACGTTATGCTGAAATAAAGACATAGCGCCATAAGAGACGGGAAATACGTCCAGCAATTTCCGAAATTCTAAATAAACAATAGTCTTCATTTGGCGCAAATACATGCACGATGGTTTTTGTTTTTGTTGCTGTTCGGACTTGATCTGTTCCGAGATGCGAACAGTTTCCGAGAGTGAAGCTCGAGGAAAAGTGAGAGCTTAGAGCAACAGATAATAATCTTGAGTTAAATTTAAAACGAAGACTTCTTTTGTTGTGGACGTTAAGGTTTGAAAATTGAGGAATATTACTTAGGGTATATACACGGATATTCTCCAGTTTTAGCTGATTTATATTCGGTCACGTGATGCATTTAGACCAATCCCGCGCGCAAGCAAAAATATTTGATGGATTATATTCTGAAATATCAGTCTTCTTACTGCTCGCTAAATCAGTTGCCACAGAAACCTTTTTTCAGAGCGCTTACTCATTTTCATCATCATCATCATCGAGATCGTCACTATCTTCATCATCGCCATCATCATCATCGAGATGCTCACTGTCTTCATCTTCGTCATCGTCATGGTCATCATCCTCACTTTCGTCATCATCATCGTCGTCATCATCATCGCCGTCGTCGTCGTCGTCGTCGTCGTCGTCGTCGTCGTCGTCGTCGTCGTCGTCGTCGTCGTCGTCGTCGTCGTCGTCGTCGTCGTCGTCGTCGTCGTCGTCGTCGTCGTCGTCGTCGTCGTCGTCGTCGTCGTCGTCGTCGTCGTCGTCATCATCATCATCTGGCTCTTTTCTAAACGTTGTTCCTTTTATTTTCAGCTCAGCTTTTGTAAGAGGTCGATGGATCATCATCCCTTCATCTCCTATTTCATCTTCCTATCACAGGACAAAAAAAGGACACAACATCAACCACAGCACCAATTATGTGAAACTCTCAACTGGCATTTTCACACCAGATAAATATCTAAAGGATCTTGATTCTCCCCACGTATATCGGAATATTACGTTTCCTTCGCTATGGCAAAATACACCTGTTTCATTAATTTCTATGTAACACTCAACTTACATTTTAACACACAAGATAAATATTTCACGCAATCAAAGATATTTGTCCTTATAGCGAGCAGTGAAAGAGGACATTCACTTTTGAATTCAAATAGCTACAAGTGACTAAAACCATTTTACAACAAGGAAAACGATCTCAGTTACAAATAACAAAAACAATGCTCCCTGACGATTAAAATGAGGTGAAGGTTGACAAACACATAAATTACAATAAATACTAACTTTTTTAGAGGGAGGAAAACTGTCTAATATCTTCGAAATTATTTTATTTTCCACACACAAAGTATTAGCTAAGCTATTGTCTGCCCGAGAGTAAATCAACGATTTAACAATTTTCCAACCCTACAGGACTACACGCAACGGGTTTTACTCCAGTTCACCTCTCCACCAACATAATTGTTGCACGATTGAAAGACAGAATGACCCTTATTGATGACCCGGAGTCCTCGATGTAATGTTATCCTTGACTTTCCCAAAAGTAAAGAACTCTCCTCTCAATGTAACCGTACTTTTCTGAAAAAACCGTTTGAATCATATACGAGACACTTAAAAAAGAATCCAACTGCTAAATAAGAATAGGGAAACCATTTAAGAGCGAATAAATTATAGCGCAGTGCCGAGTTTGACTGGTGGCCGCGTGTCACGGGTCGCGCCTATGAAGTTTAAGCTTTTAAAATGATTTCTTTTGATTTTTCGTTTGTTTTCTAGCAGGGCGCTTACGCCTGACGCACAGTAATGCTTCATTCTTCAAGCGCTAATTTCACAGGTTCCATAACATAACGTCTTTCCTAGATCTTTCAGCTGAATGAGATGTTAATGGAAACTTCGCCTCCAAAAGGCTTCTTCTCACGACTAGTGCAGGCGCTTTATTTTGTTTAGGACGTGGTAATATTGGTCTTATTTTGGATACAGAATGGGAACATCGAGCCGAAGCGCTTATCAGAGGTGACCCATGTGAAACACTTTCTTGATTTTTTTCCTCCTTTCCCCACCCCCCTCCCCCTCCAAAAAAATAATATATATATATATATATATTTATCCATTGAATTTTGTGCCCGCCTGTCTTCTTTTCCAATTCCTTCTCGCTATTATCTCTTTTTGCCTTATTACCAACCCCGGAGTACTTTGCTCTTTATTCTATGTTATATTTTCGTTTAACACACCAAAAAGGTTTTAGAGTGTAAGGTTTGAAATAGTCAATTTAACAAATTCGCTATTTACAATGCTTTTCTTTAATTTTTCTTAAAAGAATAAAAAATAGGCTTCTATGACAAAGGCGACCCAGGGCCCTACGAGCATCTGACGGAGTTACTCAACATGGGCAGTGCAGCTAAAGACAAAAAGAATCCAACTGATAAATAAGAATAATGAAACCATTTAAGTGCAAGTAAATTATTGCACCGTGTCAGTTTCTTTTTGGATGTTAATATTTTAACCTACAACTTTTGGTGAATTATTTCCTATCATCAGTACAAACCTTTAAAACGTAAATTTATGACCATAGAATCAACATGATTTTCGCTTTTCAAAACACACATTTGGATTTAACACAAGAAAAAACCTTTTTTGTTTGGTTCTTTCTATTTTGTTGGGTTAACGCTTCCTGTTAATAAAAGCGAATAGATGCTGGTACAGATTGTAGGGATCAACGTCATCAAATCCAAAGCATGTATGGGTTCACAGTAATTTCAGGTCACATAATCAAACCCAAATAAAAGCATCCCATAATAACAACACAAGCCTAAAAAATTCAAAAATTAACATTGCGCAAAGAAGTTTGGTCCGAGAAAAATTCTCACAATTCATCTTTTTTTCTCTCTCTTATGCGAAGCATAGCTACAGAATTTTCTCTAACAAGATTTCGCTAAAACTCAAAGGCCAATCGAATGAACTCGAATGAATCAAACTCCCAAACTTTTCAATTAGGTTTCAGTAATCAAGCATCCACTACACTGGAAACTACTGTCTGTAAATAATATCAAAGTTTTGAAAGCTAAATTTGTTTCTGTCTTAATTTAATCTTAAACAAATTTTTCTGGAAACCATAGTCAAAGAAGCATTACATGAACCATTAAAGTACTTAACATGGGCTGTTTACGGTCTCCGCCATCCCCAACAATGGCTCCTGATGTCACAAAATAGAAATAGAAAATTTCGAAAACAGTGACTGTTCCTGATGTCTACATTCTTTCCCATGCAGACTACTCTGATAAATTTTATCAAAAGCAACTTGCTGGAAACAATATCTAATGCTATTCTGAGGAACGTCTAACTAAAGATTAGATACAACTGAGTGAAACAACAAAAAGACTCTTACATGGTAATCAGTGAACAACATGATGCCTCTCCCTTTTACTGCTGTACACAACTCTTCATACTCTGTCTTTGTCATCTGAACACTATACAGGGACAGGTACTTCAGCTTAGGAACACTGCTGAGAGGCTGAACCAGGTCCCTGACTCCTCTGCCAAGTGGATTCCATCCTAGATTAAGATCGCTCAGCTCTGGTACATCCTTAAGTGCACGAGCCAGTGCTGATGCTTCATCTTCACCCATATTTGTATCCGACAGGTCCAGCTCAGTCAGATTGGGTACATTGCTCAGGTTCTTGGCCAGTTCAATAATCCCGTGACCTACTGCATTGTTTGACATATCCAGTTCTTTTAACTTGTTTAAGTACTGTAATGAGGCAGCCAGTGCAGCACATTCCTTTTCTCCCATTTGTACATGAATTAACTCTAACTTAGTCAACTGTGGCACGTGATGAAGATTCTCAGCCAAATGACTCACACCGCTGTGTAAGGGGTTCCATGACAAGCAAAGCTCATGCAAGTTTGGAGAGTGGTGCAGTGACTCAGCAATAAAAGCAGCACACTTTTCTGTTAGATTGATACTATAAAGTTCTAAACTGTGGAGATTGTCAGTAAAATTAATTCTGTGCATCACGCTCTCAATCGAATTACCTTCCAAGGCATCTGTCACGCTCCCACATATAGCAATATCTCGAGGAGCTGTTAATAAGGGAAACAAGTTCTTCAACAGAACAATATCCTCAACTGTTACCGGATCTAACTTAACCTCTCTCACCAGTGACAAACAATGTTGTTGTGTCTGGTCAGATCTGTTCTCAGTCAAAGACTGAGTGCAAGGTTATTGTCCTCATTCTCTCCCAGATTATCCACAGGTGGCTGAGAAGAACAAACCGGCGCTGATATCAGTTCATGAAAAAGTTTAGAACAAAGAACAGTATTTGTTATGCGACGTAGATAAAAAAAGTTTCTCATTTCGCTTTTTTTGAGGAAAAAGTCCGCATCGCGTAACTCGGCGTATTCTTTTACATCTTTAATTTCTCCAGAGCACGTTAAAAATACCGCGTTCAAGTCAGACAATATGGATAGAAAATCATCATTATTACTCTCCCTCATATTAAGTTAAATTACTTTCCAAAAAAATAAATAGTTTGGAAAACTGGCGATGCCTTTGAAGAAGTTTTTCTCAGCAGCAGTAGACGAGTGTTTCTTATCAAGTATTACAACATGGTTAACACATGAGAGAAATGCAGAATACACAGCTAGTCTGTCTGAGGCTGGACAACGAAACAAATAATCGACACAGAATAGAATAAACTCCTTTTGTGCATAAGACAAATCTTCGACAGAAGGCGTCCTAGTGAAATTGTAATTTGTGAGACCTTCTTTCTCTCCGACATAACGTAGATGATCAAAAACAATGCCAGCAGCTTCTGATGACAACTCACAAACGAATTTTAGAACTTCAGCCATCTTCCTTGATTTTTCAAACGTATCCATTCCTGACAAGCAGGTGACAGTTTCATTCTTCTTAACCTTCGCTTCTTGAACGATGAACCAAGCGGCAAGAAACTCCTGAACGGACTTGTGAAGAAAAGACACGATCTTCTCACGGTTCAAAGCAGAAAGTTTGGAAACTTGGAAAAAACCGACATGAATAAGCTTCTCGAACAGATCACCAGGCGGAAATTTACTGAAGTTAAAATGAAGGCAGTCCTCCAAAAGAGCATCGAATGCAAGTTTTCCTATTTTGGAAAGTTCCTCTTGATATTCATCTATGCTTTTATCTGTTGCGACGTTGTCTGAGTCTTTAATAGCCATATGATCCAAGAGAGTCTGAATAAATTCTACGTAAATTTCGCTACGAGACGTTGGTAATTGAGGTTTTTTCTTTTTCCACAGAAGACACAACATCAACAATAATAGTGGAATCTCTGCCATCTCCTCGAGGTCATGCTCCTCCAGGTATTCAAGTAGCCCTTCAACATCTTCCTCATCAGGAAGAATCTTTCTTGCAAACTGTTCCTTCTGTTCCCAGCTATCGAACCCGTTAAGTTCAAACTGAGCGTGACTTGGCACTCTAAGCTCATCCTCTTTCACTGGCCGCGTTGTGATCATTACACAACAGTCTCTCAGTTGACTGCCTCTCCAAATCTGGTGAATTAGGGATGATTTTCCACCGCTGTACTCATCATATCCATCCAAAATGAGCAGCACTTTCTCCTGGTTCTGACGGACATATTCACACAAGTTATTGACTGCCATCGGGTCATCAGCAGACAACAGTTCCGCTGTTTTTAACATGGTACAGAGGTCCGAAATACCACAAACGTCTCGTAACCTGATTAACAGTAAAAGATTGAACTTTTCGAGGATCTTCGTTCTGCCATTTGCCCAATCCACAGCTACTTTTTGAGTGAAAGTAGACTTTCCTATTCCAGGTCTTCCATACACCAGAATTCGTCTACGGATGGGATGATCTTCGTCACCTTCAAATACTTCACTGCTGTCTCCCAGCTTTTTTTTCGTTGTCCCGTCAGGTTTCCTGTGGTCTTGTAAAAACGTTACTTGTATGTAAATGCTATTAATGTGTACCGTGTTGTCTGGGTCCCATGGTGTTATTTTCACTTGACACATGGTGTTGTAAAACGCCCTCAACTGATTCCGGCACCATTCCCAAAATTCTGTTACAGACGAGTCTGTAGACAAAAAACAAGTAGCTTGGTAAAAATTCTCTTTCTCCCACATCGAAAAGAAAATCACTCGAGAAGGGTTTTTGAACAATAAGGAGAATAATTGTTTCCATCTGTAATTTGTAACTTTGACGACGTCACTCTTTAATTCCGAAGGTAAATATTCACATTTTCACTATCTGATCACTACGGTGTTTTTTTTTTTTTTTTTTTTTTTTTTTTTTTTTGGGGGGGGGGGGTTCTGTGACAAGTGAAATTATTATTAAGACAAACATTAGGGAAAACCTCAAATATTGTAGTAACTATGAGTTTCTAAAGCTTAAATTCGAACATTAGCCCCTCGTTGGACCGATTGGGTTGTGTGTGGTTTATAAAATGGGGGTTGGGCTAAAAGGAGGGGAGGGGTAAGGCGGGAGATTCTAGGTGTCTTATGAGTATGTTGCAGCTGCCTCTCTTGCTAATGTAATAACCTTTTGAAGATTTTTTCAGACCATTCTATATTTTCATTGTTAAACGCCGTTAATCTTGCTTCCACAATTTCGAGATGACGCCCGACTGTCTTCCATTTTTCGAGTTTCTGCGAAAGTCTCTCTAAATCTTCGTCGCTGGGAACTCCTTGCTTGACAACAAACATTAAGATATCACAGCAAAGCATCAAGATGAGAGGATAGCGTGTAGTACATATTGCATCTATTCATGCCATTTTGCTGGATCCACGCATTTTTATTTTACAAAGGCGGGGGAAGGATGATGGGGTTGGGGGGTGGGGGTTAACAGGCACGCCCATAGACATGTCCTCATTTTACCTCTTTTCTTTGGAGTCAAGGCGTCACTCGGAGACGACTCTTCATTACGGCGTTTCACCTTTGGCGGAGGCAAATGTTTAGTAGAACCACCTGCATGGTAACAAATGTAAAAAGATAATTAGACCAGAACATAATATTTGAGCCAACAGATTTATTGTGACAATGGAGCTTTTTCCTTTCCTAATAAAACGTCTCCTAATGAATTTGTTTCAAGCCCAATTCATGCAACTTCATTATGCAACCCTACTTTCCAACATTTAACACAAAAATATACACGCCCACATACGCGACCAGAAGATTTCTTGTTCTTTTTTTTTTCTTTTTTTTCCAGCCAGTAAGAAAAATTGTCATCGCCACTTAAACGGATTTGGTGACCTACCATTTATATCTCTATTTTGCGATCGAGCGAAAAGCTCTTAAAAACTCTTTTCCATACAATAAGCAGCTTGCGTAAAGCTACTCTAAATCTTCGTCACTAGGAACTCCTTGCTGGACAACAAAAATAAAGACATCACAGCAAAGCATCAAGATGAGAGGATAGCGAGTAGTACGTATTGCATCTATTCATGCCATTTTGCTGAATCCACGTATATTTAAAAAGAAAAAAAAAATTAGACCAGATTTTTCGAGCCAACAGATTCATTGTAGCAATGGGGCTATTTCCTTTCCTCGTGAAACGTCTCCTGAGGAATTTGGTTTCGAGGCCACTTCGTGCCATTGCATTATGCATCCTACCGTGCATCATTTTACACGAAATTTACACGCCCATATACGCGACCAGAAGATTTCTTGTTCTCTTTTTTCTGCCAGGAAGAAAAAATGTCCTCGCCACGTCAAACGGATTTGGTGACCTATCATTTATATCTCTAGTTTGCGAAAGGCTATAAAAAAAACTCCATACAATAAGCAGCTTGGGTAAGGCCACTCTAAATCTTCGTCGCTAGGTTCGATTTGCACCTAATTCTCAAGTGCAGTCTCCAATCCGTCAAGGAGAGAAGCGCGGGCTCATTTCATCAACAGCAGCTGGTAATCGAGGCTATCGTTTGTTCCGCTACACAAAAATCTTAAAAATATATTGATTTGTTCTGTGACAAGTGCAATTATTATTAAGGAAAATCTCAAATCTTGTTGTAACTATGTAACACTTAAAATCCTCCAGTCCGAAAGTCTAAATCAGAATGCAGATTCTGAAGAAGTTAAAAACTGAAGTCCCCAGTGACTAATACCTTCAAGCTTTGAGCGCTTTATGCCCTGGTCCAGTAACCCGCTTGATGACTTCCTTTTTCCACCTTACAAACATAAGGAAAGTAATTTAAAACGAGAGACAGCGAGGCGGGCATTTAATCAGGTTCATTACTAATTAAATAATGGCAGGTAATTATTTGCATGTCAAAGAAATCTAGCCGCAAAAATGTATTTCTGTAAGACTAAGAAAACCGTGAACACAAGAGATTTCTATGGAATATATGCCATAAAGTTTCAAGAAAAATAGCTAATCAACAGAAGAGAGAAAGCTAAACCGCAAACAGCAACGCTAATTAGTTAAGTCTAAAGGAAGATGTCATGAGTCAATATGCAGCATCGAGCCCCAGACCCTCGGATTCTGCGCTCTGAAGCTCTCCTACTAAGCAAGAGAGAACTCTATGGTGAGTTTCACAGCAATAAGAATAAAAGAAACAGTTTCTCACTGCATCTGTTCATTCAAATACATACCTGCTGTTTTGGTAGACGAAACATGTTGCTGTTGGGAAGACTGGGCACTAGAGCAGCATGGCTCTACCGGAACTTCTTTACTCAGTGCTGAATGTTGTCTGTCAGTTGAAATATCTTCAAGAACACAAAACCAAACAGACAGCAGTTAGACAGCCTTATGAGGTTTGAAACAGACATGCGGCTTTATGTAGTTCAAACCAACATAATTCGAATACTGCGTCCTAACCTTGCTTGCAAAGGTTAGGACATAACTCAAACGAATGTGGGTGTAAGATTTCTAAAAATGCAAATCTATGTGAGGAATTTAAGATGTTTGTGATCCTTCCTTCCTCTGCATAAAAATTCAGCATTTAACCGCAGTTCTTAGGAGAGGCACCATGCAATAATTGGGTTGAAAAAGACTGGCACCTATAAGTCTCAATAGACATACTGGGAATTTGTAAACAACGATGATGGCTCAAGTAATTTCCTATCTGCAAGAGTTAACAGTTACTGTTGTTCGGTTAGCAATGATAATTTGGTTTTATTAACTAAGTTGATAATGTAAATGGCCACCGTAAAGAGTTTCTACAGCTGATGTTTCGAGCATTATCCCTTCTTTGGACCGATTGGAGGAACCTGGGTTGCCTGTGGTTTATAAAATAAGGGTTGTGCTGGTAGGGGAGGGGTTGGGCTAAAGCAGGAGTTTCTGGGTGTATTATATAGTGGGGTGAGGTTGGAAGTCTTCTTCCCAAAAAGTTTGAAAGCATCCCACCATCCATCTTTGTAGAAAGAAAATTAGAGCTCCTGTATGTCAACTTCAGGTCAACATCATTATCTTTAATTTCTCACATTTTGTTAGCCCAGTGCAACACACAAAAGCAGAGCCTGTGAAATTGCTGACAAACATGTAACATTTCTGAGT